CAAATAGCTGTTGCCCTTGAAACCCCAACTCAGCCCCCACCTTAGGCTCTGCCTTCCCAGTTCACCCAAATTTGGTTCTGATGGGCCGGTTTCTATGCTAGTCAGTGTCTCCAAGGCCTATCTCTGGGCTGATCAGAGAGCCAGGGCTGATCAGCAGTCCCCACGGAGGCCCGGAGAGAAAAAGAGGTGTAGCTGCTGGCCAGGCCTGGAGAGAGAGAGAGAGGCAAGGGCTGATCAATAGCTGCCAGGGAGGATAGTATCAGAACACCTGCTTCTCTCTCCAGGCCTGATCCACAGCCCCCTCAGCAGTCAGTGTTGGGTTGCTGCACCTGCAGCGGATGACCCAGCACTGGCTGCAGGACTTCTGTCAGTTGAGCCTTCGGTTGTTTTGGACACTAGGGACCCTGGGTTTTTATATATTAGAATGAGAGAGAATCATTGACCAGCTGCCTCCTGCACATCCCCCACTCGGGATGGAAACCACAACCTGGGCAAATGCCTTGACTGGAATTGAACCCAGGACCCTTCAGTCTACCAGAGGCTAGGATCAGAGTGAATGAACTTCGTGCACCAACTGAGCCAAACCAGCCAGGACTAAATAAGTTCATTTTTAACAGCAAAAATCCATCCTTGCAAGTTTAAGAGTGTTTTGGACTTGGCAGGTGCAGGTTCTCACTGCCTCACCTGGTCGCTCTCCAACTCTGCCCTCAGGCACTGCTCCTGCTGTGAGTTGCCCCAGTCCAGTGGTCGGCAAACTCATTAGTCAACAGGGCCAAATATCAACAGTACGACGATTGAAATTTCTTTTGAGAGCCGAAAACCCGACTTCTGCACGTGGGCCATGAAGTTTCAATCATACTGTATGCGTGCGCCCACACGTGGTATATTGTGAAAGAGCCACGCTCAATGGGCCAAAGAGCCGCATGTGGCTCACAAGCCACACGGTTTGCCGACCACTGCCCTAGAGAAGGGAACTTGAGGCCTCTCGCCAACTGAGGTCCTCAATCTGACATCACCTGAGGGATAATCCTCTCAGCAACCACAGGAAGGAGCTTGAAGCACTCTCCCTGCTATGGATTGAATGCCTGTCCTCCCACATTCATATGTGGAAACATAATGCCATGTTTATGTTAGGAAGTGATGCTATTGGGAGGGCATTCGTTCACAAAAGTGGAGCGTCCTGAAGAAGTGAACTCAGTGCCCAGGGAGACCTGAGAAAGCTCCATCGTGGAGGTCGCCCACCTGAGTGCGTGCACAGACGGTGGGAGCCAGCCAGCTGGTGCGGATCAGATAGGCAGCTGCATCTCCGCCAACATGCGGGTCATTCCGTCACAACATGACCCTGGGCAATCCCAGGAGCAGAAGGCGCTTGCTCTGCCCCAGTTCCAGGACAGAACCTGAGGTCAGGGTATGCGTGGCCCTGACCCTTCATCCCTCCCACCCATCACCACACACAGCAACAACAGCTGTTTCCCAAACAACTTTTATTTTCTCCAACCCTACCGGATAACAACTCCACTGCCCTTCTGTCGTGTGGGGTGGAGGGGAAGAGTCAAGCTGCAATCAGACAGACTTGCCTGGAGCCTTCCCACCTCTAGCTGGGGAGAAACACATCCCTGTTGCTGATCAGCCACCAAGTCTCTGGCGGCTGCAGCTGCCCATGCTACCGGACACGCCTGCAGGCAAGCCTCAGGTGGGTGCACAGCTGGGCCAACAGCATGGCCAGACCCACCTCACCTTAAAGCCCTGTGTGATGGCGTTAGGAGGGGCTCAAGCCATGAAGATGAAGTCCGCATGAAGCGTCAGTGTTGTCCGAGACTCAGCCCCTTCCTCCCTGAGAGGGTAAGCTGGACCCCAGGGACCAGAGAGAGGCCCTCTCCTACCAGCTCAGCACCCTGATCTCAGACTTTTAGCCTCCAGAATGTGAAAAATAACTTGTTTAGAACCACCCAAAATACCAAAATGGTGTTTTATTATAGCAGCCCAGATGGACTAAAATGTACAGGAAAAACTGGACTTTGAAAACTTCTTTTTTTGCAATACCACCTCAAAAATTGAAGTCCTGATCCTAACCTCCGACCCTGCTCTGACCCTGACCATAAACCCCAATCCTAAACCCTGGCTCTGGCCCTAGGCCCTGATCCAAACCAACCTTAAACCCTCTGCTGCTGGTAAAATCTATAGCTGCCAGTAGTACCCAATTTTCTTTCCATATTTCAGGTTATGGAAAAGTTGTGCCAAAAATCTAACCACAGACACTCTTCACATACCAGAATTAGTAATAAAGTGTGAAAGAAAACACATTGTAAGGGAAAAAAAAAAAAATATATATATATATATACACACACATATATATATGTATATGTATATATATGTGTGTGTGTGTGTGTGTGTATATATATATATATATATATATATATATATTTTTTTTTTTTTTTTTTAAGATCTGGGGACAAGCATATCTATCCCAGACAAGAAACAGAAGCAATGCTAAGAAGGCTAAAATGTCTTAACTGCCTTTATTGATATCTTGTATTTATCCAGGTATGTCAGCTTTTAAACCAGTTTCAGATTTCTTACATTAATCCCCTGGAAGTTCCAGCCTGGCTAAAGCACGTTCACACAGTGATTTTTACATTACACACTTAATGTGATAAACTTGATCTTTGTTTTGTACATCTCAATGGCTCTCCTACTTCTAAGACAAAAGTCACATATAAAAACACAAGACGACTGACAACACAGAAGCCCACAGTCTAAGAGCAGTGTCTGCGCGGCTTGCGGGAGCACATACCGAGGAGCCGCAGGCAGCTCACACTACACCAGAGGCACGGCCACAGGCAGCCGCTCACACTCTCCGCCATGTTTACAAGATAAACACCAGCTGGTTCATATAGATTACAGCATCAGATTTTTTAACCAAATTCTGCTTTAAAAATCACAACTGAGAACATGTAAATTAAAACTGCTAGGCAAGTTTAACACATAGGAAAACGTGTTGTGCGTGGCCTTTTTTTTTGAATCCTCACCTGATGACATTTCTTCCACTGGTTTTAGAGAAAGTGAAAGGGAGGGAGGAGGGACAGAGGGAGAAACATTAACCAGGAGACGCTGATCGGCGCCTCCCGCACGCACCACCCTCCTGCACGCACCACGACCAGGGCTGGGGAACCCACAACCGATCCACGCCCCTGCATTGCCTTTTATAAGGCAAATGTGGTTTAAAAGAAATGAAATACATATACAATCACGGGGGAAAAGCATACTAGAACAGATTTCACAGATACACTTAAGTCTAAGAATGTCCACAAATTGGAGGCCTCTGTGTCTCCACAAGACCCCGTCGCTCTGCAGGGTCCCTGGGGCGCTCCACCCTGCTCAGAGTGGCCGAGTCACAGGCAGGTCACCAAGCCATGAAGTGCTTCTTCCCAACAGCTTCAGGACACAAGCCCAGAAGGACACAACACAGTTTCCCAGTGAGGCATGCACACAGCATCCTGTGACAGAAAGGATTCAGCTACTAAAAACAGCAAAAAGGTGAAAAATAACCAGGACTCAGTTAACTGGTTGAAACCAGAGACACTAAACCTCAGCAACACCCAAGACTTGAAGCGATAAAATTAAACCTCAACTCTGGGTGACTGACCAACAGCAGCAGTGTTTACTGGGCTGTTTGTTAACATTTAATACTGTTTCTTCTGTTTGGGTGAAAAAACAAACAAGCAAACCAAAAAACGAGAAAGAACCAGTGTTTTGGAATAAGCACTATAACTTCAAAATATTCTGCCACCAGCCCAACAGGACCCTTCCTCCGGACCCAGAACCTAATTAGACAAAAGCTCCTGCCACACGAGGCCCCAAGTCTGTTCCCCGAGAGTGAAACTGCTCTAGTGCAATGGAGCTAGCAAAATACATATATTTGTTCTTAAGAAAAATTACAAAACTAACAAATCTTTTTTCTCCAGAATTACAAAAGATAAAATCTATGAGTGATTATAGAGGAATACCAACGGAGGCTCTGAAGGAAAGCGAAAAGCACAAGCAGCCAGAGTCCCCACCCTTCCCGCAGCCCGCGGGCCTCCACTGGCTCCGTCGTCCGAGGCCAACCCTAGCAAGGATCACCGCAGTCCTCTCATGGTCGTTGTCGTCGTCAGTCCGCACTGGGGTGAACGTTGTCGTTTATTACCTGCACGGCATGCGCTTCATTCTTCAGGGTGTCCTCTCAGGGATTACTAGACATTGGTTCTTTTTTTGATCAATCGATCGATTGTAGAGAAGGGAGAGAAACACTGATTTATTGTTGCTCCACTTCTTTAAACATTCGGTGGCAGATTCTGTGTGTGCTCTGACAAGGGATCGAAACCAAAACTTTGGTGTATCTGGACGATGCTCCAACCAACTGAGCTACCAGCCAGGGTGGCATCAGTTCTTCTAAAGGGAAGGGAAGGTATCGGGAAAAAACTCCTTGGAATTCTTTTGGAACTCCTAAAAGGTATCTGGCAGTTTGATACTTTTATTCCCCCTCCCCCAACACAATTAAAAAACACACACACAAACTGACAACTCCCATAAGAATTTTTACAATTTTACAATAAGGGAGGGTTTGTCAAGAAAAGAGAGCTAGGTTTAGTGAAGGTCAGAGCCACGAATTAAGAGGTTGATAATGTCAAAATTCAAATTTGGACAAAGGTGTGTCTCACCCAGAAGTCCCCACACTTACAAAGGTGCGCTTGCACCTCCACGCACGGCACAGCCCCTCGGTCTCCCTGTTTGTGCAGACGTGCCTACCTGTGCCTCCCACGAGCTGAGGGGAGCCTTTCTCCGGGAGACTCTGTCCCTTTCAAGAAAACATTCTCCCATGCACTTACTGTTTGTCAGATTATATTTAAAGAAATCTACCATTTAATGAAAATTCTACAAGATAATCAAGATCAAACTGGAAGAACCGTGCAGACAGGGCACACTCCGCTGGCCACAGGCTTGGCGCCACCTGCATGCGCTCACTTGTCCCTGTAGTAGAGCAGGTAGTACTTCAGGGGGTCAGGCAGGGGCAGGCTCAGGACCTTCTCCCGCAGGAAGTTCACGGGGGGCTCTGGCTTTGTCTCAGCTGGGCTCTGCTCCTCTTCTTCCCGCTGCTCCTCTCCCAAACCCTCACAGCTGTTGTCCTCAGACGGGTTGGAAATCCGACTGGCAAAGACCTCTTTGTCTAAGAAGACAATGGTTTCCATTCGACGGCGGCGCACTCTCCTTCGCTTGAACCTGGGAGTGGCTTTCAGTCCGTCCCCATTTCTGCTCACTGCTTCCTGGTGAATGACCTTCTTAATGGCGCCCCGGATGGCAATGCGAGCCAAGTCCTGGAGGCTCCGGACCGCCAGGGGGGCTGCAGCGCAAAGGACATGAGTCAGTGTTCGTGCTGACAATACAGGCCTAACCAACTGGAAACTGCATGTGAACAGACAAAGCACAGAGCATGAGCTCTTTTCAGGAAATACCTGACACATGTAACTTGCACGGAGACGAAGGAGGGCCCCACCGCTGGCAGAGACCAGCAGGAGAAAGCCCGGCTGCTCTGAGTCTTCCCCAGCCTGGCCGGCCCTCTGGTCCCTGTGTCTGCCCAAGGGCTCTCTCACTCACCACCATCCAGCACTCGCCCATCTACTCTGTTTTCATTGTGATTTATAAACTGAATACTTCTTGCTGTTGTTAAAGTAGAGAAAAGTAGAATTACAACAGTTTTAAGAACAAAAACTCTACAGCCTAAGAAAAAGTAAAGCTTGGTCACTGAGTTTAATGCAGGCTCTTTGATGAGGCTGTGAGGGCTTTTCTCAGAGGGAAAGGAATGAGGGGGTCAAGTGTTTCAATACAGTAAACTCAAAGCCAGCATCACTCTCCCTCCAGGACCGGAGTGCTCCAAAAACCACACCGCCCTCGGAGGCTTCGCAGAGCCTCAGCAAGTGCCCCCTGGACCAGGGACCTGGGAGTTCCCATGACCCCTCTGTCAGCACCTACGCTCTCTGCTCACTGTCCTCTTCCTCCGGAGGACGCGGGCCACCTGCCCCTCGCTGCTGCTCCTCGGACAGCTGGAAGAAGTCCTTCACTGGCGCCAGGCCTCCCACGGACAGCACTGGCACGGGGGCCACGTGGGGCTGGTGCCAGCTCTCCCTCCTCTCAGTCCGAGTGCTGCTTCCCAAGGTTCCGACTTTATCCTTTCTCCTCTCTCCTTGATCTGACATCTAGTCTGTGGCTTCAATTAACAGAAACCGGCCAGCAACTCCCAGAGCTATCACCCGTCCTGACCACAAGCCCACATCTACAACAGTCTCTGGCATCCTTCTTCAGAGAGGTCCCTGGGCCTGTCCTGGTCCTTCCCTCTCGGGCCAGTGTTTACCATCCATCTTTATCTCTAGCCTGGGAAATCCCAATCGCCTCCTAAATGGCTCCTGCCTGTGCTGACCTTGGCCTGTCCACTCTGATGACTGACCCTGCCAGCACCTACAGGACTTCACTCGGCACCGACTCCCTCAGTGTGACTACTGGTTTACAAAGATCACGTTACAAACAAGTGGATTACTGTTCCCTTCAGGATCCCTGAACAGCATCCCATGATTACTTATCATCCAATATTCACTCTGAACCACGGGCTCAAAACCCACATATCAGGGTGCCTTCCACTTGGTCATGACCATCAGCCAGGCCCACCCAGGCCTCCTCCAGCCCCGACTGTCCCCTCACCTCCAACATGCTGCCGTGGCAGCGTCAGCTGTACCCTCTGGGAACACGGAACATGGACACACTGCATCACTCAGGAGGGTGATCCTGAGTGAGAGGCGTCACCCCCAAGGAGCTCTGCACAGTCCAGGGGATAAACTGCAGGCCAACCGGCATCCCATCAGGGAGCCCAGCTGCCTCCTCAGAGCCCCTGGGAATGTACACTTCAGTCACGGCCTTAGCTCCTTTCCTCCCTCTCTTCTCTCCTCTCGGCATCAAGGACCAACACAACCTCTCAGTCCCTCTGCACAGTCTATGGCTGCTCCTTACCCCAGTTCCTCACACTTCAATGACCATGTCAATGTCATGTGACCTGCACTTAGCAGAGACCAGGAAGAACATAACATCACCTTGATAAGTGACTCCTCACATATATTAAAGGATGATTCTAGAAGGAACTCACCCACATGTATTAGTTATCTTTGGGTGCTGAAATTAAGGGTGATTTTTTTTCTTCCAATATTTTTTTTTCATTTTCCAAATTTCCTAAATCATCAGAAAGCAGAGTGCATGCTAAACAATTTTTTATTAAATAAAGACAATTGCAATTCTCCTTGCTGTGTAAGTCTCTTGTTGAAATTATAAAGCATTTGACTGAATGCTTAACTTTTTGATGGGTCTGCACCCTGACAGAGTGAGAGGCACAGGCCTGGCCAAGGAAGGCTCCACTGCAAACCTGGCCCTGCCCACCTGAGCCGAGTGGCGGACATGTGGCCCTGCAGCCGCCCCGGGCAGAGGGTCCGGGGTCTGCAGGAGCCCCATGGCAGAGGTGCCAGGACACACTCCACAGGGCGGGTTTAATTCCCTTCTAGGGACTCTTCTGCTTCCCAGGGCATCACCCTCAGCAGTTCTCTGAGGAGGTAAAACACAGCTAAAATCACGTACAATAAGCTGGAAATAGAGTTGTGGTTTTTAGGCATTAAAAAAAAAAAAAGTTTAGCCAAGACCGGTTTGGCTCAGTGGATAGAGCGTCAGCCTGTGGACTGAAAGGTCCCGGGTTTGATTCTGGTCACGGGCATGTGCTTTGGTTGCGGGCACATCCCCAGTAGGAGGTGTGCAGGAGGCAGCTGGTCGATGTTTCTCTCTCAGCGACGTTTCTAACTCTCTATCTCTCTCAATTCCTCTCTGTGTAAAATCAATAAAATATATTTTAAATAAATAAATAAATAAATAAATAAATAAATAGTTTAAGGTTATAGTGAGTGGGGAATGATCTTTAATATTAAAGGTTCCTTTTAATGAAATTCAAAACATCCAAATGATGGGCTAGGGGCTCTGTACTCACGTAACTGGACGAGTCTTGATTTCCCCGACTCTGAGCCGCGCGGCTGGACCAGAGGAGCAAAGGAAACAGCCAGGATCTTTTTGGTTTCCCAAGCAGAAGGTCCCGTGCGCGTTATCTTAGTCAACTATCCCAGAGACAAAACAAGATATAATTACTGGTATGTTAGATTAAATATAGTTTTAATTCTTACACACCATCTAAAACTACACAGATACACAAATCATTAAAAACACGAGAGGGCGATGTGGCATGAACAGCGGATACGGTTAATCTGAACACAGCCAAGCATCTCACCCTAACTCCTGTTACAGGAAATGTCTATGTCAGAGGAAGAAATTAAAGGACAACAGGAGGACACAATCCATGCAGTGTAGGGATCTGATGAGACCACTTTCAATGCTAGGGGATGTGGAGGGCTCTGAAGTGACAGTCATCAGACACACACAATCTACACCACACGCTGGCCAGCCAAAACTCCTACAGCAAGTGGGGACTCAAGCACAACAGCTGCAACCACAAAGCACAGCTCCTTGCTGGGAGTCTAGCTTCCTGTCCCCTTGGGAGATGCACACTGAAGTGTCCAAGGAGCCTCCCAATGACACTGCCCAGGGCCCCGGAGACATGGCTCCCTGCGTGCAGTCTCACCACAGTTCCTGTGAATCACAATCCAGGGGCGCAGGACCAAAAAAAGCACGGCCATCCTGTGCTCTGTGGGCCTGCTCTGCCACCACAACACCTGGGTCACAGGACTATTCCTGCTAAGATTGTATGCTCCCTAATCTAAAAATATCTAAACCAGCAAACCGTCTAAAAACTAAGGTTCTATGCCATGAATCTTAGAAATAAAAGAATTCAGTAGCTATGTATTCGATGAACATCAACAAGTTACTTGCATTCTTGTATACTAGCAGAGACATTCCTTTTAAAAAAATTATTTATTAAATTGATTGGGGTGACACTGGTCAACATGAACATATAGGTTTCAGGTGTGGGTTTCTATGTTATAAGATCTATGTCGTACCATGTGCCACCACCCAAAGGAAAACATTTCTTAAAAGGAGAATTTCTAGTTATAATAAACATCAAATAGTTAAATGTAATAAAAAAAAAATGGATGAGCCCTTAAAACTATAAATGTCTATTTCATGTTCTGTATGAGCAGAATACTAAAAATATGTCTCTAATCCTCAAATTAACCCAGCTGTAGCACAATTCTAACAAAAGGTCCTATGTATTTCTGCAAAACCATGAAGATTCCTACAGTCATCTGTAAGGAAGGACCCACCTCACATTCTGAAACTGAAGAGCAGAGACGAGACTGGTCCTGTCACTGTGAAAACAGTAGGATCAACCCGGCAGGACGGTCTACTTGGCACATCTCCAGTGGAATAAAAAGGCAAAAACCACACACCCCAAAAATCCTGAACTAGTTATAGACATCAAATAGTGATGCCACATATTGTAGACAGACATCACACTGGGCGGATGGGGACAGCGTTCCGCCTGAGAGACAAGTGGCGCTGACACCACTGGCTGAGGGCTGACACCCACTACCCTCTCAGGGAGGAAAGGACTAGAAGAATATGGGAGAGAGCCCCACAGAGATATGCTGCAGGGAATTTGTCTTACCACACTTGGTAAGACAAATGGCCTAATTTCTTCAAAAACAAATTGCAATGAAAAAGAAAGAATCTACTGATTAATGCACTTAGGAGATACTCCAATCAGATTCAACACATGAATCTTAAATGGACCTGCATTCACATAAACAAATCAAAATAACGTTAAGACAATCAGGAAAAATGGAATGCTAGTAGACAGTTGAAGATATTCAGAAATTACTATTGCCCAGCTGGTGTGCTCAGTGGCTGAGCGATGACCCATGAACCAGGAGGTCACAGTTCAATTCCGTCAGGCCACATGTCCACGTTGTGGGCTTGACCCCCGGAAGGAGGGGAGGGTGTGCAGGAAGCAGCTGATCAACAATACCAATTTCTGTCCCTCTCACCCTCTCCCTGCCTGTCTCTGAAATTAATAAAAACACATTTTAAAAAAGAAAAAAAATTACTACTAATTTTTTAGGTTGATGATGGTTTTATGACTGTTTTAAAAACAGAATCTTTATCTTACCCAAATACATACTGAAATATTTATGAGTAATTGTTTTTTAATTTGGATAGTAATTCACTGAGTCTTTATGTAACAGTAAAATAACAGTGAGTCACAACACACAGCCTCATGTCCAATCACAGTAACCGGATCATCAACTAGGCCCACATACCAGTGGCTGCCAGGCAAGAACTAAAAATAATTGAAACTATATTCACAAACTCTTCTAAGGAACAGTGTAACTTCTAAAACATGTGCTGTCGCCTTTTTAAAAAAAAAAAAACATCAAACTACAAACATGTACAAGGACCACACTCAGCCACCAGGAAGGCAACTGTGAGCAGTTGTGCCTGGTGTTCCTTCATTTCCTAAAATGAATGATTATTTTTCAAGCAAAATAAGTTAAATGCAAACATTTAACAATTACAGAATTTTTTTTTAAATGCACAATCTCATTATGTTTATAATTTTGTTTTTCCTAGTACTTTGTGATAGTGAGTCATTCTTCCCAATGACCAATGCATGTCTGTCTTTCCCTCTGAAACACAGTACTGAAAACATACTAAAACATGCATGACCCACCTGCCTGTTTAGGCCCAATCCTAGTAGGCCTGGGTCCCGCTCCTCCCAACTGCCCTTCCCTGAAGGCCTGGTGTCCCCCAACATCCAGTAGGATCAGGCCTAACAGGCAATCAGAACATCCCTCTCACAACCCAGGACTGCTCGCTCCAACTGCTCGCCTGCCTGCCTTCCTGATTGCCCTAATCACTTCTACCTGCCAGTCTGATCACCTCCTAACCACTCTGCTGCCAGCTTGATTGATGCCTAACTGCTCCCCTGCCACCTTATTTGCCCCTAACTGCCCTCCCCTCCAGGCCTATTCTCCCCCAAGAGCTCCCCATCAAGGGATGTCCACCTGCCCATTTAGGCCCAATCCTAGTAGGCCTGGATTCCCCTGCAACTATACTTCCTTGCAGGCCTGGTCGCCCCCAACTTCCCTCCTCTGCCGACCTGGTCACCCCTAACTGCCCTCCCCTGCAGGTTTGATCAACCCTAACTGCCCTTCCTTGCAGGCCTGGTCCCTCCCAACTGCCCTCCCATGCTGGCCATCTTGTGGTGGACACCTTGTGTCCACATGGGCGCAGCTATCTTGTGTGTTAGGACTGATGGTCAATTTGCATATTTCCCTTTTATTAGCTAGGATAGAGGCCTGGTACATGAGTGAGTGTGGTGGTTTGCAGGATGGCCATGCTCCAAGCTGACCCAAGCAGAGGCTTTGGGATCTGGGATTTATTTATCTTCTATAATTGAAATTTTATAGCCTTGAGTAGAGGTCAAGGCAGGCTAGGGCTGCAGAAGCTTGAATTCCTCCATTTCTGGGGGCAACTCAAGCCTCCTGCTCTCTCCAGCTCCATGGCTGCCACCATCTTTGTTGGGATTTATTTATCTTCTATAATTGAAACTTCGAAGCCTTGAATGGCATCCACAGGTGGCCAGCATGTGAGGGAAGCTTGGCTTCCTCCATTGCCAGGGAAACCCAAGCTCGCTCTGTGGCCATAGCCACCTTGGTTGGGTTAATTTGCATACTTACTCCTGATTGGCTGGTGGCCATGAATTGTGGGTGTGGTGGAGGTGTGGTCAATTTGCATGTTACCCTTTTATTAGATAGGATAGGCCTAGTGCATGAAAATTCGTGAAGGGGGGGGGGGGATGTCTCTCAGCCCAGCCTGCACTCTCTCCAATCTGAGACCCCTTTGGGGTATTGTCAGACTGCCAGTTTAGGCCTGATCTCTGTGGATCACCCTCTAACCACTCCCCTGCGGTCCTGATTGATACCTAACTGCCCCCCCACCCCCACTGGCCCAATTGCTCCCAACTGCCCTCCCTTGCAGATCTGGTCACCCCCAACTGCCCTCCCCTGCTGGTCATCTCGTGGCAGCCATCTTGTGATGGCATCATGCAAGGGTGTTAGGCCACTTAGACTTTTATTATATAGGATAGGATTCTAGTAACAAAATAAGCACCACAGCACAGCTGTGGGGGGGTGGGGGGGTATAAAAGGAGGCTCTGAGATGCTTATTCGACCCAAGACCTGTCCTTGCCTGCTACCTCATTTGTGAACACAAGGACTTGTTACAAAGAAGAGTATATCTCAACTACCTGGAACAGACCTTGCCAAACCGTTACATGAGCAAAGATGTCAGTTAGGAAGGGGTCTGACCTTCTCTTCCAGGGGCATGACCAGGATGCCCCCCACCTTGAGAAGACTCTTCATGTAGTCCTCATGCTCCTTCTGCACACCTGCACCGCAATACACCCGGTCATACTGAGAGCAATCAGGAGAAAGCTCCAGGCAATTGCCAGGAACAAAGGAAGGTTCACAGAAGTCAAACCTGAAAGGAAGAAATGTGTTCATCCCACGGCTCCAAATAACAGGGCTACAAATAAATTTATGCCAACCACAGGTGAGAGATTTTCATTTCAGAACCCTACACTATGTAATACAGCTTACTGAGCTGGCACTGGAAGCCAGACTTCAAAAAGGATTGTGCTATTAATAATTATACCCTAGAAATTCCAAATAAAGTATCATTAAAGTGAACATCATAAGCATGATCCAAGCTTAAATCATCCAACCTCCAATCATCACTATCTTTGCCCTGCATTTATAATAATTATCTTATTCAAAGTCATTACACAACAGTGAAATGAGGGTAAGTAACATACATTTGGTTTTTCTAAAAATTTTAATCCCTAAAATAAGACTATTCATGCCTTGTTTAAAAATGGCAAGAACTAGTTACAAAAACTGTTTACTGTTTTAGAAACCATCAATGATAAAACGTCTCTATAAGAAACATGAAAACTGAGCAAAATGAACATTCTATTTCTCTCTCTTATTGGTGAAAAACTACCTTTACCTAGGTATCACAGTGAACAAATATAAAGCCCTAAAAACCCCAATATATGTTTTAAAACTTTATTGATTTTCGGAGATAAACACATATTTGTTGTTCCACTTATTTATGCATTAATTGTTTGACTTTGTCTGTGCCTTCACCAGGGATCGAGCCTGCCACCTGTAACCCTGGAATATCAGGAAGATGCTCTAACCAACTACCAACTAAGCTACCTGGTCACGGTGACAGGATGACAAGGGTAATAGGGGGAGGGGGGGAGAGAGAAAAAGAGAGAGATCACACATCCTGGTGCCCTGGCACGCCACAACCATACCTGCTGGCCCAAGAACACTGCAGATGGATTGCCCCCCCCCCCGCCCGCCCCGTCTCATCAAGTTACCTTACAACCCAGACCCTGACAGAAGGACAGGGCTTGGCCTTACTTGTCGAAACTGTCGCTGGTCCTGATGAAGAAGTCTAGTTTCTGCTTTGCGTACTCAATCACATCTGGATGAAGCTCCACACCATGGTTTACCCCAAAAGGACCTGCAAGGGTTCAGAGCCAGAAAACTTTCAGAACCAGAGCGACAACTCTTACTCTGCGTTTCTCCTGTATCGGCAGCAACAGGCCTGACTTTGTGTGAGCAATTACTGTAATACACAGGTTTTCTTATCTTACATCACCTCCAGCTTATCTTTATATGCAAGGCAGGCTCTGCTCACATCACACTCACTCACTTGTGGTTACTGACTCCATAGCTTTCCAAAGCCTGAGCTTCCCTGCCCTCCAACTTCCAAAGAATTATTTGAAAATGTAAAAAAGCCAAGGTCTGAAACCAAGAGTTCAAGGTCTTGCCAATAACTGAAGAATCGTATTTGCAAATGAAAGCTGACAAAGGGCTGTTTCCCACAAAAGGTTCCACCAGACACTCAGATGTGGGCATTAATAATCCTCACAAAACAGGTTTTAATCATCATTGAAAAAACTACAATTCCAAGTCACTGTGAAGCATGTTTTAAATCAAAGGGAACCGCAACAGACATTACATCCTGTTACTGCTGTCAGTGTTGCCTGCGGGGGACCTTCCTCCAGGTGAAATCTGGGGGAAAACTATGGACACAAACAGCTGAGGTGAGTCTGTGGGAATCTGTTTACATGCAGGTCAGAAGCAGGCAGCACCATCTGTGCTGATGAAGGGCCCAGTGCTCCTCTGGAGGGTGTGGGTCCTGGGGTCTTCTGGGTGTGCCTGCAAGGAAGTGGATGCACATGTGCCAATTCTCCAGGCTCCACACTTCACCCTCTCACTTCCTCCGACCATACCCACTGTGAATCCTCTCATAACTGACCTCTTTCTTCTCCGGAGTCACCGTCTTAAAAAGGCCCCTCGGGGCAGGACGGAGTTGTCTTTTCCATCCTGAGAGGCTGCCAGTGTTCAGCCTGGATGCCAGGACCTGCTCCCTTTTCTGCCTTGATGCATTTTTTTCCCAGAAAAGCTTGGCCATGATAGTTGTAAGATGTCTCCACCCCCCACCAATCACATTTTACGTAAGATAGGAATTAAATGAATCCTCAGTAATCGGATACTGTTACTAAATGGCTTTAAGAAAGTTAACTTGTGAAATCTCTCTCACCTGGAAATTATCTAAAAATAACATTACAGGCATTAATTCTCCCAGTGTTCAAATCACAAAACAAACAAAAACTGTTTGAGAGAACTTTGAATCCCAGGCACTTGGAAGTTAAAGGTTCTATTCAACCTTTCTATCGCCGTGACCCTTTAATACAGCTAGCAGGGTCGCCTAAGACCATCGGAAAACACACATATTTATTATACATTGCTATTCATAACAGAAGCAAAGATATGGTTATGAAGTAGCAACGAAATAACGTTATGGCGGGGTCACCACCATGAGGAGCTGTATTAGAGGGCCATGGCACCAGGAAGGGTGGGAACCACTGGTTTAGAGCAAATGGCAGGGCAAGCTGGGCGAGGTCTAGTCAAGAGCCAGGGAAGACCAGAGTGACGCCGCTGTCCAGGTGCTCCACTGTCGGGAGGAGGATGTGTTGACACCTGCTGGAGGCACAGGTGGCAGGGGACAGGGATCGGGAGCGGTACCCCAGGGCCCTCCCCTCACCAGCCCACCCAGGGACTATTGGTAAATGATACCAGATAATGCAGGGAAGGCCAAGGGCAATTAGACAGACCCGTCCAAAGGACACTGCCAGCAGTCTCTTTGGTACTGCAAACTCCCCCCATTACCTAAAATGAGCCCCACCATGGAGCTGAGGTAGCCGGTGCCACTGCCCAGATTCAGGAACGAGAGCCCAGGCTGCAAGTCCAGGGCTTCCATCACCTCTGAGTAGATGCACGGAGCCGACAGGTGGATGTTCCCATGCTTCCATGCCAAGTCTTTGTACGCATTTTCTTTAAACTCTTCAAGATAATAATCTGCGCGGTCAATCGCTCGGAAAGCCTGCTCCACCAGTTCGGTCCGGATGTACTGTGCTTCCTTCAAATTGTCTATCAGCTCATCGTTGTCCTCACCGGCACTCACCGCACCTCCCATCTTTGAGATCACACTCGGGCAACACTGCAATGAAAGATTAAATTTTAAAGAGCCATTTACATTAAAGGTAAGAGCGGGACAATGAAAGCACTAAACGCATACCAATTTCAAATTCTGAATCCTGAAATACAGATGGAATACATTTTGTCAACCCCTGCCTGCATCATAGCAAGAATGCCAGCTTCAGAAGAAAATAAACTCGGTGGTACCCATTTAGAAGGAAGTCTATCAATTATAATATCAACTGAATTAAATCTTAATTTGAACTTGAGATACCTAAATATATTTAATTTTAAACCTTAATTAAACTGTGAATCCCATGCTTTACTTCCATCAACAATCCACAAAGTCAAGATTTTAGGATTAAATCTATCTTGAATACAGATCTGCCTCAAAGGTACATACCCACCCATGGCAAAATCACTGGATGTAATATAACAAAAGGGCAGTCTAAAAACTCATTCTAACAGCAACTGTTCTTTGAATATTTTCAAATGCTACAGATCTTTTTTTGTGAACCTTTAACACACACCAAAAATGGCTCCAAACTACAAGTACTAAAATATATTGGCCACTTGAAATTCTACTATACATGGGTGTCCTACATGCTATCTGGCAACTCTGCACCCCTCATACACGTAGATGCCACTTCCAGCAACCCATGCAGTCTGCTCATTTGGATGTTCTAACGTACACAGTTCAGTTGAAAACATCCACAAAACTCTCTTCCACAACAGAACATATTGTAACAAACACAAAATCCAGTTTACAGGTAGGCAGAGCTGCAACTCCAACCCCTGCCCCCTCTGGAGTCTAGCTATGCCCTTCCAGCTCTTTTATAGTATAAACTACTCCTTCCCACCTGCCTTCAAGAATACAAAGAAAGAGAAACCAAGATGGCGGCATAGGTAAACGCCTAATTGTAGCCTCACACAACAATTTCAAAAAATACAACTAAAATATAAAGTGGACATTATCCAGAACTACAGGAAAGTTGACTGACTAGAAATTCTATAACTAGAAGGAAAGAGAAAACCAGAAGGAAAATCAGAGGAGCTGTAAAAGCCTAAGGTATGGAGACACGTGGGGAGAGGATGGAGCTGGAGAGAAGAGGCGGCCGAGTGCCTGGTTGGTGTTCCCTAGCGGGAAGGAGATAAAAGCTCCGGACGGTGCTGAGAGGCGAAAAGCAGAGCCTGGAGTCGCGCACATTTCCCACAGAGGACGGACTGTTGACTGTGCTGCTGGATTGCCCTGGCGGGAAGGAGACAAAAGCTCCAAACTGTGCTGAGCCCCAGTTCCTACTGCACTGAACCCCAGTTCTAGACCAGACCCTGGGAACCCAAGCTCATTCGGAGGGAATCTGGGCTGTAAGGCAGAAACTCAGGGGAGACACAAAAGACAGAGCCCCAGAGTTGTGCACGCTGCGCGCAGAGGATGGACTGTTGACTGTGCTGCTGGATTGCCCTAGCAGGAAGGATACAAAAGCTCCAGACTGCACTGAACCCCACTTCCAACTCCACTGAACCCCAGTTCTGGGCTCATTGGGAGAGAGACTAGACTGTCTGGTAGCGGGCGAAACTTGAGGGCATCTTTCTCTCAGAGCGAGTACCAAAGGACACTGAGAAACACTGAGACTCAGGAACCTCATAGGGTGGGGCTGACAGGAAGCCAAGGCTGTAGGCTCCACCTTGAAACTCCACCCCATCCAAGCTAAGCACAGAGGCTTTTGAATAAGCCTATCTCCTGGCATAGACACAGCTGATCCTCACAGCCAATTGGCCTGGAGGTCAGTTCCTCCCAGTGATACCAACAATAATTAAGACTTAACTACAACAAGGCTGTACACACAGTCCACAAAGGGGTGCACAAAGAGTGTCCACTTCAGATAACTTGGGAGGGTGACCCACTGAACAATATAGGACACCTTAACACACAAAGCCACCCTACCAACTCAGGGAAGCAGCGAAAATGATCACAAGCGAAAGAAATGGAGGACAAAAAGCGACTGGATATAGAGTTCAAAACCACGCTTATAAGGTTTTTCAAGAATTTCCTAGAAAAGGCCGATAAAATAAATGAGACCTATGAGGATATGAAAAGGGATCAACTAGAAATAAAGAATACATTGCCTGAAATAAAAAATATTATACAGAGTCCTAAAAACAGAATGGAAGATCGCAAGAATCAAGTCAAAGATTTGGAACACAACGAGCCAGAGAACACTCCTCCGCAGAAGCAAGAAGACAAGAGAATCCAGAAAATTGAAGATAATGTAAGAAACCTCTGGGACAACTTCAAGCAAACCAACATCAGAATTATGGAAGTCCCAGAAGGAGAGAGAGAGCAAGATACCAAAAACAAACTGAAAGAAATAGTGACAGAAAACTTCCCCCACCTCGTGAAAGAAATAGACTTACAAGTGCAGGAAGCACACAGAATCCCAAACAAAAGGAATCCAAAGAGGACCACACCAAGACACATCATAATTAAAATTCCAAGAGCAAAAGACAGAGAATATTAAAAGCAGCAAGAGAAAAGCAGGTAGTTACCTATAAAGAAGCACCCATACGACTGTTAGCTGATTTCTCAACAGAAACCATGCAGGCCAGATGGGAATGGCAAGAAATATTCAAGGTGCTGAATAACAAGAACCTACAGCCCAAATTACTCTACCCAGCAGAGCTATCACTCAGAATCGAAGGCCAGTTGAAGAGCTTTACAAATAAAAAAAATCACCACCAAACCAGAATTTTATGAATTGCTGAAAGGGGTTGTTTAGGAAGAGGAAGAAAATAAAAGACAAAATTATGAACAACAAATACGTAACTATCAACAAGTGAATCTAAAAACCAAGGGAATTAAAAAACCTGATGAACAATATTAACTGGTGACTATAATAGAATCAGAGGTATGGAAGGGGAGTGGACTGACTATTCTCGGGGAAAAGGGGAGAGGGAGGTGTGGGAAGAGATTGAACATAAACTATGCACCTATGGATGAGGACAATGGGGAAAAGGCAGAGGGTGGGGTGGGAACCTGGTGGAGGGGCGCAATGGAGGGAAAAATGAATATTTGTAATAATATAAACAATAAAGTTTATTTTTTTAAAAAGAATACAAAGAGATTATGGCCAACTGCTCAGTAATTAGAGCGTTAGTCTGAGGAATGAAGGGTTTGGGTTCGATTCTGGTCAAGAGCACACACCTTCACTTGCAGGCTTGATCTCTCACCCTGGTTGGGGTGTGTGTGTGTGAGGCAACCAATCAATGTGTGTCTCTCACACTGAGGTGCCTTCCCCCCCCCCCTTCCCCTCCAGCCCCCACTCTAAAAATCAAAGGAAAGCATTCTTGGGTGAGTATTAACAGCAACAAGAAGAATACAAAGTAACACCCTGTGTTCCCCTCTGGCTCAACTAAAAGCCTAATGTACCTTCATCTAATTAATAGGGGAAATGTTCTGTTAGATGTCTTACTCTTTCAAAAACTAAAAAAAAAAAAAAAAAAATTATTCTTCATCCATGTAACTTTTTCAGAATCAGGCCAACTCCCAGTAACAACATATTATAATTTTGTTATTACAAAATTTATACTTGCTTTGCCCTCACAATTCTCTGGCTTTCTAACAGAAAGAGAATCCTAAGGAAATACTGGGCAGAGAGATTCCACACACACTTCACATCCACACAACTGGAAGCTGGTTGGGAGAAGTTTACCCAAGAAAGAAAATACATGAGCACATGGATGAACTCCATCTTCTTTCAAGGACACAAACATGTGAGCGCCTGGGCTTCCATATCAAAGGGGGACAGCTCCTCTTCTTCACTGGGGTTTCTGAGCTGAGTCCGAGGCCCATGATTCGACCTCCACCCCTCTTTGCTTCAGAGCCTTGTGAAGTTTGGGTCCATGGCCAGTTTAGCTGGTTGGGATACTGTGCTATGAGGTCGAATTTAATCTTAGATAAGCCACTTAGTTTTGAAGCTAAAGTCCATACCCCTAGTCTAGGACAATCATCTTAAAATGTGGGTCACTGGTTAAAAGTGGAGCTGTGTGTGGCTGCTTCAGAGTTCAGTTAAAAGCATGGAACCACACACACCCTGCCATAGTCTGAGCCTACCCAGGATGTCGACATCATTCCATCCCACAAGGCAAACACAGACTGTATATCGGTAGGTTTTATTTTGTACTAAGTACTATCACTATCTCCAACTTTGCCTCACTTTGAAAATTTATTCCATATCCAAAGGCTACTTTTTTGGTTTGTTTGGTTAATCCTCAACCCAAGGGAATTTCCCCCATTGCTTTTTAGAGTTGGGGTGGGGGAGAAACATCAATGTCGCATGCACCCAGACGAGGGCCAGGAACCAGGCATGGAACCTGAGACACCCTAAGTGCTCCGGCTGACACTCTAACTACTGAGCCACTGGCCAGGGCGCAAAAGCTCGTTTTTTAGTAAATACACCTACAACCTTTTCACAGGTACCACCTGCCAGTCACGACCTCATTTTGGCTTCACACCTTATAAGAGGCTTGGCATTCAAACCCAAGACGGGTCAAAAGCCTATGTTTTTTTGCCCCAAAACAAATGCCACTTTTAACAATTCTCAAGGGGGCGACATCCTTTAACACAGAGCAAGTGGGTGATCTTTGTCCAAAATGACAGACTAAGTAACACTGGGGTAACCCTACCCCCTGCCACTGGTGAAATGCAGGTTCTGAATATTTATTAACTTTGCAGTAATCTAACTCTCCCTTATTTCTGACCCCAATGTCATCAGTCCTCAAGCCTCCAAACCTGAATCTACCATCCATTCAAACCCGACCTGTCAAAGGAACGCTGGGCGGTACTCGCAGCCCCTGGCCGCTCCGGCCACAGCCCGGCGGGCAGCCTCCCTCTGGGGCTGCTCCCCCAAAACCCGCGGGCCGGGCCTCTCCCAACGGATGCGTGGGGCGCAGGCATGAAGCCGTGAGCGTGGGGCCACGGTCCGTCCTCGGTGGTTACTA